TCTTTTCTGTTGGTCTTCATTTATCCTTTGGCCAGGGCCATACTATCTTGATTACTATAGCATTATATTAAGTAGAGAAGTCAGGTAGGGTAAATGCCAATGTTTTTCTTGGCTATTCTTGGACTTTTGCCTTTCTAAATAAAATTTAAAATTCTTTTGTCAGTTTCCAGAAAGAAGCCTTCTGGACTTTTGATTTCTTTTCATTTTTTGTGAAACAAATTATATCAAAGGGGCTTTTGATTTTGATTGTGTTAAATCTAAAGGTCAATTCTGGCAAAATTGACATCTTTAACAATAGTCTTTTGATCCATGAATGTGGTATATTTCATCTCTCCCTTTATTTAGGTCTTCAGGTTCTCTCACTGTTTTCTAGTTTTCTGTATATAAATCCCGCACATCTCTTGGTATATAGATTTCTAAATAGTTCATGCCTTTTGCTGCTATTGTGAAGTTTTTAAAATGTAAGTTTCCAGTTGTTTGTTGCTAGTATATATGCTTTAAATAGTGAATTATCTTTTTTAGAAAATTATGAGAAAAAAGACATTTTTTTGTATTATGTTAAAAATCATATTAGTTTTATTGACACATTCTCTTGGTATGCTTTATTGTCTGTAGAAATGTTACTCTGCAGCCCAGGCAAAATAGTGAGACCTTGTGTCTCAAGAAAAAACAATCAACCAGATGTGGTACTGCACACCTGTAGTCCCAGCTACTTGGGGGGCTGAGTTGGGAGGTCAAGACAGCAGTGAGCTGTGATTGTGCCATTGCACTCTAGTCTGGACAACACAGTGAGACCATGTTTCAAAACAAAAAAGTTGCTCAATTTCTAATTTTTTCTTAAAAATACTTTGTATGGGAGTCGATTAGAATACTTTCAGGCATTATTTCTTTGAATTTTTTTTCTGTCCTCTCCCATTCTTACCTCTTTTGAGATTCCAGTTCTCTTTTCCTGTTATTTGTCTTTGAGATAGCTTTTTCTGTACTACTTTTATTTCAGTGTTTTTGAGACAAGTTCTCCCTCTGTTGCCCAGGCTGGAGTACAGTGGTGTGATCATGGCTCACTGCAGCCTCGACCTCCCAGGCTCAAGCAATCCTCCTGCTTCAGCCTCCCTAGTAGCTGGGACTACAGGCATCCAGCACCATGCCCACCTAATTAAAAAAATTTTTTTTTTAGATAGAGTTTTACTCTTGGTGTCCAGGCTGGAGTGCAGTGCATGGTCTTGGCTCCCTGCAACCTTGCCTCCCAAGTTCGAGTGATTCTCCTGCCTCAGCCTCTGGGGTTACAGGCATGTGCCATCACACTTGGCTAATTTTGTATTTTTAATTGAGACGGTTTCTCCATGTTGGTCAGGCTGGTCTAGAACTCCTTACCTCAGGTGATCATCTGCCCACCTCGGCCTCCCAAAGTGCTGGGATTACAGGTGTGAGCCATTACACCTGGCCTAATTTTTAAATTTTTTGTAGAAATGAGATTTCGCCATGTTGTCAAGGCTTGTCTCGGATTCCTGAGCTTAAGTGATGTGCCTGCCTCGGCCTCCTAAAGTGCTGGATTCTAGGAGTGCCCAGCCACCATGCCCAGCTGTGTGCTACTTTTATATGGAGAGGGGTGGGCAGGCTAGCTTTGTGGCTGTAGGACTTCTCCTCTTCTGTTCTTTTTTTTTTTGAGACAGAGTCTTGCTTAGTTGCCTAGGCAGGAGTGCAGTGGCACGATCTCAGCTCACTGTAACCTCCGCCTCCCAGGTTCAAGCAATTCTGTTGTTTCAGCCTCCTGAGTAGCTGGTACTACAGGTGCTGCCACCACGCCGGCTAATTTTTTATATTTTTAGTAGAGATGGGGCTTCACTGTTAGCCAAGATGATCTCAATTTCCTGACCTTGTGATCTGCCCACCTCAGCCTTTCAAAATCTTGAGAATACAGGCCTGAGCCACTGTGCCTAGCTCTCTTCTGTTGTTATGTAGTATTCAGAAATATAATTTCTGTGTGCCTTTACTTTTTTCCTTTCCTACTTTTATCTAGAACAGAATTTTTTACCTTCTGTATTATTGGCATTTGGGGCCAGATAATCTTTGCTGTGGTAGAATTGTTCTCTGAATCGTAGAATGTTCAGTGGCATCCTGGCTTCTACCTACTAGATGCCAGGGACCTTCCACCTGCTCTGCCTGATCCTGTTATGATAACCAGAAATGTTTTCATAGTCATATGTCCACTGAGAGAATCATTTTACACCTTCCTTTCTCCTGATGGCTCTGTACTGCCCAGTTTAGGTTTCTCTTCCTGGCAGTTTCTGCTGTTGCTTTTTCTTGAAAGGGAATCCCTTTGGTTTTGAGGCCTCTGATCTTTCTGTGGTCCTCTTGCATTTGCCTATGACTTGTAGCCTATGAAGCTCCTTGCCTGTTTTGGTTGTGGTACATTGATGTGGGCTGCTTAGTTTTGTAGGTGAGGGGGAGAAGGTAGTACCTATAAGCAATTTGATTTCTGCATGTTCTGCTTTTAAGATTGTGTCAAGTCCCATTTCCTTTTCTCTTGCTGTGTCTGATACCATGTGAATCTTGCTGCTGTTGGTATTTGGCCCCACTCCTTATATTTGAGGTTCATGACGGATACTCAGTCAATTAATTGTGTTGTATTTTTCGGCCACATTTTGGTTTGGTTTGATCTCTTTGATGTATTCTCCTGGTTGCTTTCTTTGTCTTTTGTGGGGTGGGTATTCAGAGATTTTTTTAAAAAGTTTTGCTTCTTTCATTGCCAAGTTTCCGGGAATACCTCTGCCTTCTTAAAATGAGGATTTTAATAAAATATGTAAAAGACAACATTTTACATGATGGATGATACTTTTGCCTCATTATGGACTATAAAGAAGTCCTAGAGAGGGAGAGATTGAAAATACAAGAGCAGGACTGAAAAACTGGTAGAGGTGTTTGTGCCCTTAGTAGAGACATTAGCTGTGAACAGGGAAAAGGACAGTTTTGTTTTTTTTTTTTCCAGTTATGTTTGTTTTTAGGTCTGTGGTTAAGAGGCTGAGGAATATCAGAAAATTCTGAATTTTCTTAGTAAACTTTTAACTTTATCTGCTAGAGAAAGGGAGGTAAATTTAGAGGGCTTGAAGAGGGTAGTAAACATTTTGGAATGCTATGGTAAAAACCAGAAGCAATGTCTGACCAAAGACTTGGAAGTAACTGCTAAGTGATGCTAAGAGCCAACCTAAGACTATAAATTTGAATTTATAACGCCAATTTTGTGATTTTTAATTTTTTTTTTTTCAGTTTTGTCTCTAAGCAACTTAGATGTAAGAGCAGAGAAGGGGTGTGTGTGTGTTTTGTTGTTGTTTTTTTTTTTTTGCTCTGTAGCCCAGGCTGGAGTGCAGTGGTGTGATCTCAGTTCACCGCAGTCTCCATCTTCTGGGTCCCAGTTCAAGCAATTCTTCTGCTTCAGCCTCCCGAATAGCTGGGATTACAGGAGCATGCCACCATGCCCAGTCAACTTTTGTATTTTTAGTAGAGATGGGATTTCACTATATTGGCCAGGCTGGTCTTGAACTCCTGACCTCGTGATCTGCTCTCCTTGGCCTCCCAAAGTGTTGGGATTACAGGTGAGAGCCACTGCGAACAGCCCGAAGGTGGCTTTTTTATATTGACCCAAGATTAGGGTTTTGTAGGACAAGTATTAGAACATGACAAGGAGACGATGTTGTTAAGTCAAGATAAGGGAGTGGTTCAAGAGATGCACTGTGTGGTATAGACTGCATAGGGAAAGAACACCATTTAGGTGCTGATGGCTTGGGAGAAAAGGGAGGATTCAAGGGAATCTAGATCTCTTGTGTTTCTAGAGCAGGTATGAGGGGAGTGAGAAAGTATGAATTGGATAGGAGATTGAAGCCAAGATAGTATATTGAAATTTAAAATTTCATGGCTAGAGTAGTTCCAGTTCATTGTGAAGACCACATTATAGGAGTGTACACCGATGAATATTGGAGGAAATGAAAGTCCAGAAACGGAGTATGTTGTGAAATGTAGCCCATTTCAGATAGGGAGATCACCTATGTTGATGGCAAGAGTTGGGCTGGAGGGAAAAGTCTGAACCAGATCAAGTAGATAAAAGGGTGGTAAGGCCAGGTGTGATGGCTCACACCTGTAATCCCAGTGCTTTGGGAGGCTGAGGCAGGCAGATCACTTGAGGTTAGGAGTTTGAGAGCAGCCTGGCCAACATGGCAAAACTCTGTCTCTACAAAAATTGAAAAATTAGTTGGCTGTGGTGGCACATGCCTGTATTGTTAGCTACATGGGAGGCTGAGGTAGGAGAATTGCTTGAACCCAGGAGGCTGAGGTTGCAGTGAGCCAAGATTGCACCACTGCATTCTGGCCTGGGCAACAGAGTGAGACTCCATCTCAAAAAAAAAAAGGTGGTAGGTAGATGGTGACATGAAGTTAGGATTCAGGGCAGTGTTACAAGAATGGAAAGGAGGTCATGAGCCCAGAATGCCAGGGACTCATCACATCTCTTATATTTGATATTTGTAGGTGTGAATACTAGGGATTGGGCAAACTTCTTAAAAGAGTCAGATAGTAAATATTTTAGGCTTTGCCACTCACAAATTGTTTCTGTTGCATATTCTTATTTGTTTTCAAATCCTTTAAAAATGTAAAAAATTTCTTTGCTCAGGGGCCATACAAAAACAGTGACCAAGTGTTAAACAGTTTGCTGACCCATGGATTGTTTTTATTATGAATTATATGTGATTGTACTTTTCTGTGAATTGTAAGTAACAGAAAGTACTTTTCTGTAACTTGTAAAGTTTACTTTGTAAAATTTATATGTATGTTTTCAGACCATTCTCCACCTGTACTTGAGTAATAGTAATTTTGTTTTGGAAAGTATTAAGAAGATAATATATTATTTATTTTTAAAATAGTGTCAGCATAATTGATTTATACTTTCCCATATGGTAATTACTTTTACATTTCTGAATAAAACTTTTACTTTTTTTTGTGGTGGATTCAAGTTGAGTCAGCAGATACTGGAGTTATTTGAAACATGTCAGCAGCAAATAAGTGATTTAAAGAAGAAAGAACTATGTCGAACGCAGCTGCAGAGAGAAATTCAACTGTTATTTCCACGTATGTTTCCCTATTTTGCATGCCCTTTAGATATATGCATTCCTATTTAAAATTTTATCTTAAAAATTTTTTTTTAATAGGCACAGAACCAGTGCACCTAGTTTAGATTTTAAATGCTCTTATAACTTTCTTCTGTTTCTTTAGAAAGCAGACTTTTTTTGGTTGGGTCCTCTTTAAATGGATTTGGTACCCGGAGCAGTGATGGTGATTTATGCCTAGTTGTTAAGGAAGAACCAGTAAGTAAGGAAACATTTATTCCAAGTGTGTTTCTCATGTTAATGGGTTAAGAAATTTTACATAAAAGTTACTGAGGAAAAAAACTTGCTTTGTTGTGATTACTTCTTTGAATTTTGTTTACCATAATTGTAGGAAACCTAGGAAATTTTTTATTTTTAAGGCATGTGCACAGTAAGCATAATTGGAGGTATAGCATTAATTTAATTATAAGTTTTTAAAGTGAGATGGCTTCACTATATGTTGTTCTTTTTTTTAGAGCTCTGCCTCTGTTTTGAAATGCCATTAGTTTGGATATGTTACCAGGATGCAGCAAAGCAGAGCATGTGGGCATGTGGCAATATTATCTTCTTGATACATTTCCTTTCCGTTTGAATTCTATTTTTAAGTGATTCTATTTTTAATCTTTACTTTTTTCTTCCTTGAAAATGCTTGTTTTGGGAAAATAGACAGATTTCACTGAAATTTAAAATAAGACTATCGTGTTTATTAAATTTAAAATATTTTTCTCTGACATTTTACCTTTGTGTTTTTTTTTTTTTTCTTTTTTTCTTTAGCAACCATATTGTGTTACTTAGTACAGGATGAGTATTCCTTATCTGCAGTGCTTGGAACCAGAGTTTTTTGGATTTGAGATTTTTTTATTTTGGAATACTTGTATTATACTTACCGTTTGAACATCTCTGATCCAAAATCTGAAATGTTCCAGTGAACATTTCCTTTGAGTATCATATCAACACTCAGAAAGTTTCAGATTTTGTATTTCATGTTTTTGGATTAGGGATGCTCAATCTGTAGTATGTTTATCTGAATTTCCTGTTAACTGATACTCCTATGTATAATATTGTAGTAATTGGTGTTCATTAAGCTGACTTGAGTCAGCCTCTTTAAAGTGCTGAAGTTTCTTCTGAACTGCCAACGATTAAATTAAGTTCAGTATAATTTTAATATACCTTATTATGTTTTACATCTTTAAAAATATAAAACATTATTGAATGTTAATGTATATTTTTACTATTTATACTATTCCACTAGCAAAAATGACTTCTAGTTACTGCAAATCAGGAGATTTATTCCAGAAAATGGTATTTTTCTGGGCTTTGAAATCATATGAAGAGAAAGTTTAAGAAAACCTCACATTATAAACATAGTGGAGAAGACAGAATTGTAATTAAAACTTTTTTATGCTGCTAAATTATACTCAAGCACATCCCACTAATCCTCCAGTCTTATTCATGTGTCTAAATCATGTTGTTATAGCCTTTATACAAAATGAGACACTAGGTATGAACCTATCCTTGAGTAGCTTACAGTCTAGTTTAGATAGGGTTAAAATTTTGTTTATTTTTGTTGGGAGGTTGCTTTTTGTACATTTATACTGAAGGGAAAAATGGCATAGATGGCTGTTTCAGAATTTCTCTAAAAATTGTGCTTTAAGCTTAAAATCAGGAATTGATTTAGAAATGTAGATGTGAAAGATACCATTGACCTTTTTCTATAATATAATTTGGAAAAATAAATTATACCTTGAGTATATTGAAAAATAACTCCAAAGGAAAGTATACCTTGTATGTTTTCTTTTTGTTGAGATACTTTAGGAAAATGAAACACTAAGCTTAGATAATGAAAAAACACTTTATTTTTAACTTTTCAGTGTTTTTTTCAGGTAAATCAGAAGACTGAAGCACGGCATATACTCACCTTAGTCCATAAACACTTCTGTACTAGACTTTGTAAGTCTGACATGCCTCAAGTTTGTATGTCATCTGACATAACTTTATTTAAAATGCCTCTTACATTATCTTCTGGTAAGAATTGTTTATTCTGGTCAGGATAGGTATAATATAGATCCTTTTTTCCAAATGAATTTCTTCTAACTTTTGATTAAAAAGATGAGTGATCATTTATTCAGCATATCTTTATTGCATTTACTGCAAAATATACCACCTGCTACAGTGGGTGGGGGGTGATTAGAGATGTATATGTTTTAGTTCTTTTTCTCAAAAATTGATAGGTTGTTAGGGAAATTAAAGCATGAATATAAGTAGTTATAATACAGAGTATCTATGAAGAGCCAAGAGTGTTGATACAGATAAAGTCCTGTAGGACTTTATTTGTGTGAGAGAGAAGTTCATCTGGCTTGTAGTGATAGGTATCTTTACTGTTTTAAAAATATGATCACTGAACATGAGACCTAAATGTATTACTTAAACAGAAAGCAAGTTGTTGACTTAAATAATTTTATTTTAAGATTTTACTCTTTGGCTAAACTGACTCTAAACAGTTTTTAATCCACGTTAAGCCATCTCAAATAATTTCTTTTAAACTTCAAAATGTTCTAGAAAGTTGAAGTTATACTAACTGTGATATTGGAAGGACACTTGTTCATTTGTTTCACAGACATTCATTATGTGCTAGTGTTTGAGCTGGAAAATAAAGGTCAAATAACAAGTCACTGTCTTTGAATAACTTACATTGTTGTAGGAGAGAAATAAATGAAGTGATTTATTTCAATAGACTTAGGTTTCTGCATTCTGAATTATTCTGTAAAATAAAGAATAATTCATACCTAAGTGGATTTTTAATAGCTATTTGAATCAAAATATTATAAATGGAAGGGGGACCTTAAAGATCATGTAATTCACATTAAGGTTTTTTTTCCTTTTGGTTATTTTTAATAGTTAAGGAAACTAGTGATCAATGGATTTAGTAACTTGCCTCAAGTATAGTTTGTTGGTATCAGTACTTACTACTCAAAACTTTTAACTCCTAATTTTATTTTTCTGAATTCCTGCACATAAATTGTATTTTGAAGCTTGAGATATTCCTTTTTTTTTTTTTTTTTTTTTTTTTCTGAGACAGAGTCTTGCTCTATCACCCAGGCTGTAGTGCAGTGGCATGATTGCAGGTCACTGCAACCTCTGCCTACCTGGTTTAAGCAATTCTCATGCCTTAGCCTCCTGAGTAGCTGGGATTACAGGCACGTGCCACCTCACCTGGCTAATTTTTATATTTTTAGTAGAGATGGGGTTTTGCCATGTTGGCGAGGCTGGTCTAGAACTGCTCATTTGGGAAATATTTTCTTTTTTTTTTTTTTTCTGATTTCTTTTTTTAAAAGAAAAAAAAAAGAAAGAGAAAGGGGGAGAGAGAACAGGAATCTTGCTCTATTGCCCAGGCTGGAGGGAAAGATTTTCAGAATTTCATTTTTACACACTTCTGTATTTTCCTCATTTTCTGTGATGAGCACGTATTACTTTTAACTCAATACTTTTTTAGTTTGATGGAATAAAATATGTATATACATTTTATTATATTGTATATGATATGTGTATATATGTAATACATACATGTATGTGTATTTGAATTTCCTATTAACTCCTGTGTATAATAGCACAGTAATTGGTGTTCGCTAAACTGACCTGAGTTTTTCACTTGTAGAGATCATGTGTGTATAACTATATGTATGTATTTTTCACTCATAGAGATCACACTTACTGAATATGTCCCAGCCCTGTGTTTCATGTTGCAAAGCATTTCCACACTTAAGACTCTGTAAATATGATTTCTACAGTTACCATGATACCTTACTCTGTGCTGTACCAAAATTAGCTATTCCCTCTGCTCCTAGCCTAGATATATTTTCACTCTTATAGTGCTCTGATGAACTTCTTTATAGATACCATATTAGACCACATTCCGGAAAATTACTTGAATATGAAGCCCCCTAACTGGTATTACTGGAGCCTACAATCTTAGAAGAATTTGATAATGTCCTCACTTGTTTTCTTTTTCAAAGACATTTTCTTAAATTATTTTAGCTTAGTAAATACTACTTTTTAAAAAATGTGCATTGGAACACTATGAATTCTAGAAACATTTGCAGATATTCACATTATCTTTTGTCTTTCAGCGGGCTACATTGAGAGACCTCAGCTGATTCGAGCAAAAGTGCCAATTGTGAAGTTCAGGGATAAAGTCAGGTAAGTAATTAATGAGCTTTCTTTTTTCAGTTGCTTTAGATCATTTTTAGATATTCATCTGATAAAGATAATTAAGAAATATATGGGCTGGGCGCGGTGGCTCACGCCTGTAATCCCAGCAATTAGGGAGGCTGAGGCGGGTGGATCACGAGGTCAAGAGATCAAGACCATCCTGGCCAGCATGGTGAAACCCTGTCTCTACTAAAAATACAAAAATTAGCTGGGCACAGTGGTGCGTGCCTGTGGTCCCAGCTACTCAGGAGGCTGAGGCAAAAGAATTAGTTGAACCCAGGAGGCGGAGGTTGCAGTGAGCCGAGATTGCGCCATTGCACTCCAGCCTGGTGACAGAGCAAGACTCTGTCTCAAGAAAAAAAAAAGAAAAAAAAAAAAAAGAAATATATGTTGTAGCATTACAGCTTATCTTAATCAGTTTTTAGAAATCATTTGACTTGGTGTTTGAAATGGTTGTTTAAAATTGAGCAATACTTTCTTATGCTTAACTGTACTTAGCTATTCTGCTTGACATTTTGAATATGTGAGACTATCCAATTTAAAGATTATGTACATATTTATATTTTAGATTTTTAAGTGATCTCTTGCCTTTTGGAAGTGTAATGCATTCTTATTAACATAATTAACGAAATTTGACATAAACTAATATCAAGGGGTTTGTTGTAAATACAATTATGATTAAAAAAGTTATGTTTCATTTTAATGAAAGATACATATAATACCTAGAATAATAGATAGTAAAACAGCACAATATACTTGTTCCATTTTAGAATTTACATTTATATATTCTACTGTCCTGGGTTCTGAATTTCTTATGGGTATTGGAATTGGGATCTTTTATATAATATCTGAATATAAAATGTAAATAGATGTTGATTATTTCATTAGTTAAAAGGATTTGTTACTGTTTTCTAAAAATAGGATTGTGACATATTTCATAAAATTTGTCTAGTTTTACAAATTAATACTGAAATTATGCCCACAAACACACATACATTGTTGAACCTTATTTTTCATAGATTGTGTTTTCACTAATTTGCCTACCTGCTGAAAGTTATTTGTAACTCCCCACGTCAATATTCATACGCTTTAGCAGTCATTTTGTGGACATACATGGAGTGGTGAAAATTTCGAATTCCCTAATACCATGTTCCCAGCTGAGGTAGAGTAAGGTGACACACTGTCTTCCTGTTCAGCTTATACTGTAAACAAATAATCTTCTCACAGTCTAATTAATGCTGTATTTCACGTTTTGTGCTTTTTTGCTATTTAGAATGGTCCCCAAGCATAGTGCTGAGTTACTTTCTAGTGTCCCCATGTACAAGAAGGCTGTGATGGTGCCCTATGGAGAAAATATGTGTTAGGTAGGCTTCGCTCAGGCATGAGTTATAGTACGCGTGGCCATGAGTCCACTGTTAATGAATCGACCATATATATTAAATACAGTGTCCTCAAACAGAAATGCAACATAAAACTTGGTTCCGTATTGACGAGTTTATGAAAATATGACCAGGCTGACAGAAACCTAACCCTTTGCTTACCCTAGGATCAATGGTATAGTATTCACTAATTCAGTGTTTGTAGCAACTTTATAGAATGTAGCTATTATGAATGATGAAAATTGACTAAATATATGTATTTTAAACAAAACTTAATGCCAGGCTTAAGCCATTCCTTTATATAGCTAAGCATCAATCAGATCTACAAATATTTATCAAATTTCTGCCAAGTAAATTGTGTCAGATTTTCCTAAAGTAAATATAAAATATAGAGAAAAAAGTTTAATACTAGCTAATTATGATAGTTTTTAATAATACGTGGTTGTAGTCATAGTTACAGAAACAGTTTTATTCTTTTTCTATTTAAGGTTATCTTACAAACTTTTTTGTTCTTAAGCATTTTTTTTTAAGAGACAGGGTCTTACCTTGTTGCTTGCCCAGTATGGAGTGCAGTAGCATGATCATAGTTCAATGTAACCACAAATGCCTAGACTCAAGTGATCCTCCCATCTCAGCTTCCTGAGTAGATAGGACTACAGGCACACACTACCACACCGGGTTAAGTTTCGTATTTTTGGTAGAGACAGGGTCTCGCCATATTGCCCAGGCTAGTCTCGAACCCCTGGCCTCAGGCAATCCTCCTACCTTAGCCTCCCAAGCATCTGGAATTACAGGAGTGTGCCACTGCACCTAGCCACTGCACCTGGTTCGTACTTTCCAACAGAACCACATATCATTAATATTTCATTATATGATTCAGTGTTGTTCTACAGCATCATTTTTAATGGCTTTATAATATTTGAGTGAATAAATTGTCCCTAACTTAACCATTCCCCTGTGTTTGAACATTTGGTTTGTTTCTAGTTTTTAGATAACACAAATAAGCATTTTGTGCATAAATTCTTTCCATACTGAGGATCACTTTTTTAGTATTTCCAGAAGTAGTATTTGAAGCAGGTACTGTGAATAGTTTTAAAGCCCTGAATTCAGTTTTGGAAAAGTTTTTAACTGCAGACTAGTTGCCATCTAAGTGTTTTTCTTTTCTATTGAGTTATTAAGTGGATGTAGTATAAATTGGCTTCAGTGTTAAACTTACACAAAGAATGTAACTCTATTGTTACTGTAAGTTTCCCAAAGCCAAATAATGTGTAGTATCTGAAGTGTTAATATTACTATCCTTTTTTTGAGATGGAGTCTCACTCTGTCACCTAGGCGACTCCTGGGTTCAAGTGATTCTCCTGCCTCAGCTTCCCAAGTAGCTGGGACTACAGGCACACCCCACCACACCCAGCCAATTTTTGTATTTTTAGTAGAGATGGGCTTTCACCATGTTGGCCTGGATGGTCTCGGTATCTTGACCTCATGATCCACACGCCTTGGCCTCCCAAAGTGCTGGGATTACAGGCATGAGCCACTATGTCAGCCACTGTTCATTTTTATTAATATGCATGGATAGTGGAAAGATTGTAAGATTTCTTTTGTTCCCCCAAATAAGAAATACTGAAATGGTAGATTTAAAATTTTATAATTAAAAGCTATAATTAACATATAAATGAATTTGGTTTTTATTTTAGACAGTTTTTTCAAAGAAAAATTTAGTGTTTAGAAGTTGTGACCTTACATGGGTATAAGTAGAACTGACTTTCATAAAGTAATCCTTGATTTTTGTATGAGTTTAGCCATTCTTTGTAGATTGCATCGTTATTGCTCTATTTTCTAAATTATGAACTGCATATATTTGCTTTCAAAGAAGTAACCATTGTGTGTTTGCTAATTTACTAGCCTTTTTAGAGGAAATATAATATGTGGACAGAGGTTTTAAATTTTTTCCCCTGTATTTTTATTTATTTATTTATTTATTTTTTTAAAGACGGGATTTCACTGCTATTGTCAGGCTGGTCTTGAACTCCTGACCTCAGGTGATCTGCCTGCCTTGGCCTCCAAAGTGCTTGAATTACAGGCGTGAGCCACCATCATTATTGCTCTATTTTCTAAATTATGAACTGCATATATTTGCTTTCAAAGAAGTAACCATTATGTATTTACTAATTTACTAGCCTTTTTAGAGGAAATATAATGTGTAGACAGAGCTTTTAAATTTTTTCCCCTGTATTTTATTTGGCTTTTTATTCCTGTTGTTTTTAAGTATATGGATGCTATAATTCCAGATTATTTGAGAATATGTAACTTAATGGGATAACTTGCTCAGAAATGGTTTTGGTTACATAGTTGTTTATCTGGAAATGATTGTGAGATTTAAAAATTTCCAGCTGGGTGCGGTGACTCCTACCTATAATACTGGTGATTTGGGAGACTAAGGTCTGGGGGGATTGCTTGAGCCCAGGAGCTCGAGGCTGCAGTGAGCTGTGATTGTGCTACTGTATTCACTCCAGCCTGGGCCGCGGAACGAGACTTCATCTCTTTCAAAAAAAAAAAAACATTAAAAAAATTTCTTTGAGGTAATTGGAACCTTAGCAGTATGTTACTCATCTTTCCACTGTAATCTTATTTTATATGTTTAATACACACCAAATTACATTAAAATAACATACTATTTGTTCATTTAGTATGTCATTTTAAAAACGCAGATCTGTGGTCTTTGGGCCCATGCTGTTTTGCATTATGGGATGGATGAGCACTAATTTAGTTATTAGGAAGGAAGTTTATTCATACTTCAGCTAAAGTTTATTTATTTATTTATTTTTTCTTAAATAGTTGTGTGGAGTTTGACCTGAATGTAAACAATATTGTTGGAATAAGAAACACATTCCTTCTCAGAACTTATGCATACCGTAAGTTTTTGGTTTATTTCTAAACAATTATCAGCCTCTTTTTTCTTTATTCATTTTTAAAGATGTTTGTTGTAAATAGTGACATCTCTTTAGTTGTGTTTAAGTATAATGTATCTTATTTTATTTGTATATGTTTCTATACTAAAATCATATGCTATCAGTTATAGGTGAATCAAGTGGCATTTTAATAATTCATAATTTTTAAAAGGTAAACTAAGGTAAGTTTTAGACATAAGGCACATTTACGGTGAACAGATACAGTGTGTAATATACATGGAGACAGTGTTCTTTATTTTGGCATGGAGCTGGGAAATGATGTAGACTTAAAAGAAACTATAATGTCTCTTACCATGTTTAAGTTTTAATTTTACTTACAGTTGAAAATCGAGTTCGTCCGTTAGTGCTGGTGATTAAGAAGTGGGCAAGTCACCATCAGATTAATGATGCCAGTCGTGGTACTTTAAGCAGCTATAGTCTTGTATTGATGGTTTTGCACTATTTACAAAGTAAGTATAATGGGGTTTTACCCAATTTTTAAAAGTAAAAGGCACTTAACTTTGTTATGATGTCTTCTCTCTTGACCCTATTTTCCAATAATATTGTTTTAAAAAGTTGTTTCTGAGGTCCCTAAAACACATTTCCTGTTTTGCTGCTTTGAACAAATGTTTTAGAAATGTTATTCCTTCGAAAACATTAAGAAGTTTCACTGTGTGTTTTTATTTTTTGTAAGTTTTTCTATAGTCACTTTTGTTTTCAAAGAACTTTCATCACTGAATTATGAACCCATTATCTTGAGGCAGACGAATGTTCAAAAGGACTGTAAAAGTTAGTTCAAGCACCATTAATTTAATTTGAGATGGGAATTAAATTATTTTCCTTTTGGTTAAAGAAGCTTTTAATTTCTGTGAGTTGCCATCTTCAGCTAGATTATATCTTTATAGGACTGTTGTATCAGATTGGCTCCCAAATTTTAATTTTGTCTGGTTAGTCATTGTTGATGAGGCCATTCTGGTAAGAGCCATACTTTTGTTGCATGCATAGTGGCAAACAGTAATAAGTGAACACTTGTAGTTTGGACCATTCGTAAGATAAATGTGAGAATTTTTTACGGTACTGAAAATTCCCTAGAAGTGTAGGACAGACTAACTAGATCTAATTGGAACCTTTACTTTCATTGTTTCTCAAAAAAAAGGTATATAATGATCCAAGAAATAAACATTAAGCCATTTTATGCTTTCTACTCAGCTGGACACCAAGAATTGTTAAAAGATGGATGCATCTACTGTTTTGTACTTATTAGACCAGGAGACTGAGATGTTTAATAACTAACTGACCAGCTGAACATAGGAATATCTGGTGACATGAAGACTGAGTGAAAGACTGTGTGAATGTAGTAGAGGACTGTTTGGCAGGATGTCTGGGGCTTGATCTAGTCTGGGTTGATGATATCTCCACGGCTTAGAATTTTGGTTTCCGAAGATGACAATCATAGGAGAAAATGTATTTTAGCATATGTGATACGCATTTCTTTGTTTCATGAATATGTATAGAATGCCTACCAAATAAATGCTAGGTATTCTAGGATTTGGGAATACAGCAGTGAACAAAATACAAAAACAATTGTCTTCTTCATGAAGCTTACATTTTCGACTTGTAAGATGTCACATTTTCATAGCTGTTACCTACCAAAACATGAATTATTAAACAACTCACAGATTACTAATAAAATGTGACATTTTTACGACCGTTGTGAATTGAGCTCTGATAGAGCAATATCAACATGTGATATGCTCAATAACAAATTGTTACAGTGTAGTCATTAAAAAATGCCTATTGAAAAATACCCTTTTATTGCCTTGTTTGGTGCTTTTTGTATTTAGATTCTGAAAGAGTTAACAGAGATAATATTAGCAATTTTGTCAGCGGCGGCTTGGAAAGTTGAGATGATTTGATTCCCTTGCAGTTATGTTTCTGTACTGAGGATACTGGGAACTGGGAAAAGGAGAAGGTACCCTTTCCTTGCGATGTGGCTCAGAAATGGTTAGGGTTGGAGATTACAATTTTGTATAGCCTAATTCCTGGTAGAATGGGCTTCTTTGGATAGGGATTGAGGATGATACTCAAATTGAGAATTTCTTTCTTTCTTTTTTTTTTTTTTTTGATATAGAGTTTTGCTCTTTTTGCCCAGGCTAGAATGCAGTGGTGTAATCTTGGGTCACTGCAACCTCTTCCTCCTGGGTTCAAGCAATTTTCCTGTCTCAGCCTTCTGAGTAGCTGGAATTACAGGTGCCTGCCACCATACCTAGCTAATTTTTGTATTTTTAGTAGAGACGGGGTTTCACCACGTTGGCCAGGCTGGTCTCTAACTCCTGACCTCCTCAGGTGATCTGCCCACCTCGGCCTCCCAAAGTGCTGGGATTACAGGCATGAGCCACTGCACTTGACCAAGAATTTATTTATAGTGAGTCATTTCTACTAATAAGAGGATAGACAGAAGTGATTGGAACAGAAACAAAGATTGTCCTACCAGTGCCTTAAAAAAGAGCAGTTCAGGGGTAAGATTGGTTGTCAGGAATTCTCTATTTTGTTTCAAAATTATTATGTTTAAAATAATGCTTAAAATGTAGTGATATTAAGATAGTTATTTTACATTTTAAAATTCATTTTGAATAAGTTGTGCATACATATCATAGAAAATCCTGAGAATATACTAAAGTGGACAGAAAAAAATACATGAGTATTTTCATACTCAAAGATTGTTATTGTCAGTATTTTATTTTTTTCGGCTTTTGTTTTCTTTGCAAAGGTTTAAAAATGTTTAGCCAAACATTAAATGTCAAGTTCAGGTCTTTTAATTCCAAAAGTTGGGGACAAATGAATAAAGGGTGTATGTTCTTTTTTCTTCTACAAAAACATGGCTTTCTTAAATAATGTTCTCACATTTTCTTTTACCTGTTCATTACATGATTCTCAGACTTTTAGATTTCAAGGAATAGTAATTTAAAAAAAAAAAAAAACCAAACGAGTTTTTATTTGCTATGTTGAGTATCGGAACCAAAAAATTGCCACCAGTTAACTGCCATTACTTCTTAAAGATAGTGCATAAAATACCAAAAAAGAAATGATAAATCTCAGGATAATGAACAGACCATCACAAAAAACAGTGTAATTGTTACACCCTCCCCACTTTTGGCACACAAACACAGGTTTTAATTTTTTTAGTTTATCACAGCTTAGTAACCTTTCCCCTATGGTGGAGAATTAGGGGAGCATTTTTTCATATTAATGGGAGTAATCTTAGAGCCAGCTAGTTCTCAAGAAAATCTTGATTCTACCTTTAGACACATCTTCATCCCACCTTTGTCTGGAGATAGGGTGACATTATTTGACCAAAGTGTTTATGTTAATATTCTTAATCTTCATAGTATATCAACCTTTTCCCTTCTTGGTAATCAAAATTTTATGGTATACTCCTAGGGTAAAATTGTCATTCTACATTCTTGGCAGAGAATATAATCTTAAACTCTGTCCTATTATTTATGAAAGTTCACTTGAACATGTATTACAGACATAGGGGTTAATTTTCTTAAATTGACAGTTAAAAAAAATGACAGAATGGAATATTCAGTCATGCTGAGAGTGTTGATTTGGTACAGCCCTTTTAGAAAGCAGTGTTGCAATATTTATGTTTATATCCTTTCACTTGTTTCATTTCTAGAAATTTATTCTAATGTAATAGTGGTGAGTATATGAATTTACATATAAGGCTATTTTTTATGTTATATAAATAATAAAAGATTAGAACTCTAAATTTTCTAGGACAGGGGAATGGTTAAATTAATTATGATACCCTAATAGAAGATCTACATCAAATACTAAAAAGGTAGATGCCAAAATTGTATCAGGGGTTATTTATGGATCGTTATAGTGAAGTTCTCTATACTTCACTGTACTTGCAGATGTTTTATAATATATGAGAATATATTTTCCTTTGGATGCTGGTCTCAAATGAATTTTTTTGATTTATTAAGAGAGACAAAATAGTTTAAATGGGCCAGTCATCAGTTTTATGAAACAGTCATCAGAGAGGTTTGATGATCTTCTTTAGTGTTAATGTTTTTCAGGCTAATCTTAGTACATGTATTTTTCTTGCTGACCAGTCTTGAATATATACTGGTTTGATGATAGATTTTCCCCCTAAAAGAATTTGAAACATATGATGTTGGCTATTTTAGATACTACTTTATGTGTCATTAATCATTTTTGTTCAGTTTTACAAAATATATGTCAATCTTGGACATAATGTTACTTTATAATATATGTATATTCAGGTGAACCCTAAACATATTTTTTCAGTAAACTCTGTCCTCCTATGATTGCAGTCTGCTTTCATTAAAAATGGAATAGGAGGATTTCTTATATATATAAAATATAAAAAATATGTAGCACTCACCACCATTCAATGTCTATTTATGTTTTAGTTGTGATTTAAAGATGAGATTTGACTAAAGCATTTAGTGTACATGGACATTCATAATATGTGCTGTGCTCCTTAATTTTTACTGATTACCTTAGAAATTTCAAATTAGACTTCTTTAGATAAATGTACATTAATCACAGGTGCCCCAATGTGCTGTTGAAAGTAAATTAAAATTTTTAAATTAGGCTGGGTGTGGTGGCTCACAGCTGTAATCCCAGCACTTTGGGAGGCCAAGGTGGGCTAGTAATGAGGTCAGGAGTTCGAGAGCAGCCTGGCCAACATGTTGAAACGCTGTTTCTACTAAAAATACAAAAACTAGCTGGGTGTGGTGGTGGGTGCCTGTTATCCCAGCCACTTGGGTGGCTGAGGCAGGAGAATCACTTGAAACTGGAAGGCAGAGGTTGCAAGTATGCTGAGATTGCGCCACTGTAATCCAGCCTGGGCGAAAGAGCAAAACTCAGTCTCAAAAATAATTTTTGTTTTTTAAATTAGGGTCAGGCACAGTGGCTCATGCCTGTAATCTCAAGTGCTTTGGGAGACTGAGGTAGGGGGATTGCTTGAGGCCAGGAGTTTGAGACCAGCCTGGGCAACATAATAAGATTCCCCCACATCTACACAAATAAAAAATAAAAAAATTAATTGGGCCTAGCTACTCAGGAGGCTGAGGTGGGAGGATTGTTTGAGCCCAGGAGTTTGAGGTTGCAGTGAGCTATGATTATGCCCCTACGTTCCAGCCTGGGCAGCAGAGTGAGACTGTCTTTTAACAAAACAAAAAAATTAAACATTACTATTTTGCCATTCTAATAAAATCATATAAAATTTAGTTTAGATTTTGCCAAACATTTGATTTTTTACAGAGTGGTCCCATTTACTGAAGTGGTTTGTAATTAATGGCACTGCAATCAGCCATTCCTAGGTCTTTAGCTACCCAGAGCTAATGTGTTCCATACTGGCAAATTTAAGCTACTCCTCCGTAGAAGAAATGAGAGTGATTTAAATAGATAGTTGTTTTTCTTGGCAGTATCATGTAACATTGAGGGAAAAGGGCAAGCAAGAGTCTGTGAGGTGTATTGAGCAGTTCCAACTCTGTCACAAGAAACTAGTTTTTGTGACTTTGGTCAAGTTATTTGTACCTCACTGGCCTTAATCTCACCTGTAACACAAACAGTTGGATTAAATGACCTTTATGTTTTGTTTAACTTCTTTAATGCTTTAATATCTTTTCTGCCATAAACAGAGAAAGGAAATAGGTCCTCTGTATGTAGAAAGGTTAAAAAGATAACACATTTCCTAGAATAAATTTCAATACTCAGTAATTGATTACAGATATTTGAAGATGACTGATCAAAGTATGAGGGAATTGAGAAGAGATTTTAATTATAATGTATGATTAAGAGTTAATGAAAAAGGAGGCAGGGTGTGGTGGCTCATGCCTATTAATCCCAGCACTTTGGGAGGCCAAAGCAGGTGGATCAGTTGAGGTCTGGAGTTCGAGACCATCCTGACCAAGATGGTGAAACCCCCCATCTCTTCTAAAAATACAAAATTAGTCAGGTGTGGTGGTGTGCACCTGTAATCCCAGCTATTTGGGAGGCTGAAGCAGTCGAATCACTTGAATCCAGGAGGTGGAGGTTGTAGATCACGTCATTGCACTCCAGCCTGGGCAATGAGAGGGAAACTCCATCTAAAAAAAAAAATTAATGAAAAAGGTAAGATCATCAATTGGCTAGAAATAATAACATTAATGAATATTCATGGAATGTTTACCATGTTCCTAGGCACAGAGCTTTCTGGCAGGTATTTTAAAATTGTCCTTGCATAGCTTGAGCAACATGGCAAAACCCCATCTCTACTAAAATACAAAAATTAGCTTGATGTGGTGGTGTGCACTTGTAATCCCGGCTAGTGGGGTGGCTGAGGCATAAGGATTGCTTGAATCTGGAAAGTGGAGGCTGCAGTGAGCCAAGTATGTCACCCATACTCCAGTCTGGGTGACAGAGTGAGACCCTGTCTCAAAAAAAGTTAATAAATAAGTAAATAAAATTGTCCTTGCATTTTCAAAATTAATGATTCTTAGTACAATTGAAGATCTGCTATTTAAAATTTAAAGTTTTGATATATCAATATGGAAAGTTTATAGGTATAAATTTGTGGGGCTTCTACCAGCAAGCTGTCATGCAAGCTACAGGCAAAGTAAAATCTTGTAGATTAGCTATATTCAAGGCATTATTCAAGCTATATTCAATCATGTGTGCTAATAATGAGCTTTTGTTTTGTTTTTAGTTTGCTTTTGAGAGAGGAATTTAAAGGATGACTCATAGTCCAAAATTCTGAAGTTAAAATAGATATTATAGATTAGATTTTTCCAGAATTTATGTTGTTTTGGAGTAAGATACACATTTTAAAAACTGTTAGTCTCAATGAGTATACTTAGTATACTCATTGAAACTAATATCAGGATATTGCTAATAAAAACTGCTGTGGTACACTAATTCCTTCTCTAATGCCTAGTGTTTATAAATCTTTTAATGTTGTAAGATAAATAATGTACTTAATGATAATCCTGCCTCCAAAAACTTCTAAATTGCTGAGTTCTAAAAGCTCTTTTGTCCATTGAAAGATCCTCAACAAGTAGCTAGTATTTGTTTTTCTCTCCTAGCATTCTAGTTATAGTACCAGAATGAGATAAACTTTCTTTATTCTAATTCTCTTTTTTTTTAGAGACAAAGTCTTGCTCTGTTGCCCAGGCTGCAGTGCAATGACACAATCTTGGCTCACTGCAACCTCTGCCTCCTGGGTTCAAGAGATTCTCCTGCGTCAGCCTCCTGAGTAGCTGGGATTATAGGCGTGTGCCACCATGCCTAGAAAATTTTTCTATTTTTTTGTAGAGATGGGGTTTTACCTTGTTGGTCATGCTAGTCTCGAACCCCTAACCTCGTGATCCACCCGCCTCGACCTCCCAAAGTGCTGTGATTATTCATGTGAACCACCTTGCCTGGCCTTATTCTAATTCTCTATAATATTTTCTTTGTCCTTTGTTTTATTATACTTGTAGTATATTAGGATATTCAGTGGGAAAGGAATATAAGTTTTAAAGTAAACTAATTTCTTGTAAGATTTTCCAATTTGACTTCTGTATTATAACCAAAATTACTAGAAAGCCGTTAAAAAGTGTTATATATCTAGAGACATTAGAATTAAAGTGAGTGGGGTTTGAGTTTACTCGGCAGGTCTTCTAGAATGTTGAGTGTTTGAATGCCTCTTAGAGGAAAGGAATATATATATATCCTTACTTCCTAAGAGTGAGTCTGGTAAGTAATGATTTGAGTTTTTTTCTACTAATGTTCTCAGTTGTGTACTGAGAACATGCAGATATGTTATGGAATTTTATTTATACCAGTTTTTAACTTGGCGATGAAATGTGATACAGAAGGGAAATTTAAATAAAGCATCCTACTTTGTACTATGTAGTAAAAATTTATACCCTTGTAATTATAGTTGGAGACCATTGTAAGTTGGTCATAATGGTTCATTATACATTAATATATTTCAGAAGACATTTTTTAAAGTTTTTGCTAAATCACACATTAAAAGTGAGTTAATATGCTTTGTTACTAAGTTTGTGTAGTTAAGTTATACATAGTGTATTCCTAATTATTAAATAACTTTCTAATTCTTAAATTTGAAAATGGATTACTTGTATTTTACCATACTCATGACATTATATTTTACAGTTATGTCTTATATTATGAATGTTAGGCACTTTGCCTTTTTATATTTTTTTCATATTAAAACAATGTAAAATTACTGTTAATGCATTTAGTGAGACTGAATTTATTTAAAACGATTGAATGGTGAAGGATGATAAAAATACGGTGATAACATGAAGATAATGATTTATTTGTATGAAATTTTATTTTATAGCAGATTAGGTTTCTAATCTGCTGTATGCACTTAGATTTTTAACTTTTGCTGAGCATTCTTTAAAAAATATAGTAATGAGGTTAAAGATTTTTTTCAGTTTGATATTTTGTTGTTTGCAATATATCAGTTTCCTGCAACAATTTCAATTTTGGTATTGTTTGTCAGTGGAAATTATATAATAGAGGGGCAGTTATAAGAGAACTGTTTTTCTCCCCTACTGTCACTGAGCTATATTTTAAAAATTATAGTTTTTGATTGCTACATTCATCTTAATAATGTCCATTTAGTATCTGTAGAGCAATCCTTGTCTTGGTTATTTTGTGTGTATGTCTGATGTTGGACAAATTGCATGTTTCCCTTTACTGATAGCCTGTTACTCTAAAACCATTTGAGGAACATTGGTTTACATAGGGATATATATATATATAGTGTATTAATAAAACCTTAAATTTTCAACTTACGTATGTTTTAAATACAAACTTTTATGGATCAGAATTAATTTCATGAAATGTTTGAAAACTGTTGAGTTTTAGCATAAACCCTTATAGTCTCATACCTGGGATGTAGCTGACAAATTATTGCATTGTAAAATGAATCATGTGAATCACGGAAGCTTTAAACTTTTTCTTTTTATAGCCCTACCTGAACCCATCCTACCATCCCTCCAAAAAATTTACCCAGTAAGTGTTTTTTATAAATTATTATAATACATTTTATATCAAGTGTATGTAGAACTATTATAAGTAGTATTAATGTAATATAAAAGTAGTAAGGCTAAGTACATGATAACATTTTCTATATAGACTGAGGCATTTACCAGGAGAACATTTAAAATGTTTCATATACTTTTTCAGAAAACTCATACGTTATTTTGTTATTGGCAGACAGTCTGGCCAGTTGTGTTAATGGTGGAATTTGTTTTGCATGATGCTCAAGATTATCACTAATGGATATTAAATATCCTCAGTTGGTTAAGGCCCATTTGACCTTATTCTAGTTTTCTTCCTACTATTTTAAAATACAGCTTCACAGCGTTTCTTTAGTTAGTAACTCAGATATTTTTTTAGCCCAGTATATTTAACTTTGAAAAGCATGGGGAAAAGAAGTTGAACAATTGGATAATCTTTTTATCTTTAATTTGATCTTGCCAAGTAATAAACTAAAACAGGTAATATTAGTATGCTATTCTTGTCTGTGTAATACTGTGAATCCTGCTGACATTAATTGGAAATATTCAAGAAATGAAGTGTGACTACTAGAAAAATATCTAGTATATACTTAGTTTGAGTTTAGAGACACATAGGTTATATACATATTCATAATCTGTAAGAATCCTTGTGTTTATTTTTCAGTTTTCATGTGTTCTTTCTCCAGGATTCTGTTTCTTTGTTTTATAGTCCTATCATTAGTGTTTTCCTCCATAGTCATCCTTTTTCCTGGGTTTATTTGGAAATATATTTAAGCTACTTGTTTAGAATGTTTGACTAATCTGAAACCACATAATTTTTACATGTTGGTTTTATATACTTACAAGAAGAGATGCCTTCTAAACTTACTAAACGGTCATCTTACAAAGGGAAGTATAAATAGCCTAGAAGATTAATATTCAAAAACCTATTTATTGTGTCACACAAAATAAAACAAATTTGCTTGACGTGGAACATCAATGAAATATAGTTTAATATCTAATAATTGAGAAGAACTGATGTTTTTGGTTTTGAACGTACGTTACTAATGTAATGCACACATGCAAGTTGCTGGATAATAACGGTTCATTTTTAATAAAGCCATACCATAGTGGAGATCTCCCATTTTGTGGCAGGTCATCTACTAGAAGAGACTATAACAGGAGCCTTTTAAATCTTGCTATCTCAGCTTCCTTTTTTTCATTATTATTATACTTCAAGTTCTGGGGTACATGTGCAGATCATGTAGGATTGTTACATAGGTATACACATACTATGGTGGTTTGCTGCATCCATCCCCCCATCACCTACATTAGGTATTTCTCCTAATGTTATTCCTCCCCAATCCTTCTGCTATAATGAAGAATTATTATCATGAGTTTCCAGTATATCTAAGGATTAGTCTTTATGCTCTCTTAAACATTATGAGAAATGAAAGAATCAAATTACAGAAATAGAAGTCACTTGAACTTTTTGGCCTTATACTTTTTAATATTTCTGTGTATTTAAATTTTTTCTAGAGATGGTTTTACTGTGATGCCCAGGCTGGTCTCAAATTCCTGGCCTCAAGTGATCCTCCTGCCTTGGCCTCCCAAAGTGCTGGGGTTACAGGCATGAGCCACTACACACAGCCTATTGGCCTTAATTTTGAATGTTTTCCTCTCTTTATAAAGTACTGACTCTTTAGTTCATCCTGAAAGGTCATATTTCATTTTATTGACTCAAACTTACTTTGCTTTAAGACCCAGGTGTCAGTATAGAAAGAGCTGCACATGTTCTTTAGCAAAGGATCTGATAGTTAAACTTATCCCTAAAATAGTTTATTATTGTGTATTGAAAAATGCTTCTGCAGCTATCTCACTTAAAACTCTGTGCTACATGAAGCCCTTTTTACTAATACAGGAGACTGGTGAAATATCAGTGTACTGTGATTGGGGCCAGAGGTAATGCTTTTATAATACTCAGGTTCTTACTAATGGTCCCATTTTCACTTCTGTGTTTTTCTTATTATCTAGCTTTCTCCCATGACAGAGTCCTGACTTATGTTCATATACACTACCTCTGGCCTTAGGCTCTCCATCTGTTTTGCTTCTAAGATTATTTCTATACCTGTAATGGGGAAATAGATAGAGCCTCAAGGCCTTAAAAAGTACTAATAGCAAGACCTACCAGATTAGGAACCTCCTAATTTGCCTTCACATATGGTTACATTGCTACCATAAATATTTAAATAATTTACCTTTACTCTAAGATTGATGTTTACATGGATAGGGACTTACTACCTCCTCTTACACAAGATTTTTTGTTTTTGTTTTGCTTTGTTTTTTGTTTTGGTCAATAGAAATATTTTTAGTGGTCTAACTGATGGAACAGACAAATCAGCTCGTTTCCTATTAATAACCATCGTTTATTTAGTATCTATTATATGTTAGTACACTGTACCTTTTATATACAATGAAAAGTCTTGAATAAATAAACTTGCGAGATATTATCCTTCTTTCACCAATGAAGAAATTGTTTTCGAAATGTTACATGATTGATCCAAGTGGTACTAATAATTTTTCCATTGTACTATTTCTTGGGGGAGGGAAAATTACAGTAGCATTCACTAACATTTTATCTAATTTATATTGCTTATTACATTTTATTTGTATATATCTCATTGTTCCTATACAGATAACCTTGGTTTAATGATGGCAGTTATGGCAGAATTTAAGCTTGTATAAATAAGTTTGAGACTGACTTACCATTTTAATTAACAACAACAACAAAAAAAACCAACTTGGTGACTTTACAAAGGAAACCACAGGTTGCTTTAAATTTCAAGTTTCTCTAATATAAAATAGGGTTTTGTTTTTAAAATAAGAGAAAACAATTTTGGAATGGAATAAATTTGTTACTCTATACTATACTTTTTAGTAATTTTCATATTTTCAAAATTTATGATAAATTTAAATACCTTAAAAATTGGTATATTTCAATTCAGTTATGAAAGGGATAGAAGGCTATAACATCTCTAAACACTATATTATAGTATAGAATTACTGATTATTACTAAATTCTTATTGACTTAAAAGCAGCATAACTGATAGACGGCAGAGTATTTACTATTCAGTTAAAGAAATGAAGCTGAGAAAGTTAAATATATAAACAGATTAAGCTTATGAAAGAATATTTTAATGCAAGCATATTATTATAAGCTAACTTAAATTTATGCTAGGTAGATTTATCAATACAAACAAATTTAGCTATTTGTTTCCTTCCCTGAAAGTATCTTCATACTCTAGGAAAATATTTACGTTAACAGAATAGAGTTGCAAGAAAATAGCGCTCTTCTTTTTAATAGTATGGAAATAAAGAATTCTGAGAATGTAGAGCTTTTCTGTGTAATTATGTTAAAAACACCTTAAATTATACATATACAGTAATGTGCTGCATGATGGTGTTTTGGTTCATGACAGACCACATACATGATAGTCATCTCATGAGATGGTAATAGAGCTGAAAAATTCTTGTCACTTGGTTTTGCTGTACTATACCTTTTATCATTATTTCAGAGTGTGCTCATTATGCTTATTTAAAAAACAAGCTAACTATAAAGTGGCCTCAGGTAGGTCCTTGAAGAGATATTCCAGAAGAAGTCATTGTTATAATAGGAAATGGCAACTCTGTGCATGATATTGTCCCCAAAGACTGGGACAAGATGTGGAGGTGGACGACAGTGATAGTGATGATCCTGATACTGTGTAGGCCTAGGCTGATTTGTATGTTTATGCTTTTAACAAAAAAGTTTAAGGAAAAAAATTTAAAATAGAAAAAAAGGTTATAGAATAAGGATATAAAGAAAGAAAATACTTTTGTATCATTGCATAATGTGTTTGTGTTTTAAGCTGTGTTGTTACAGAACAGCCCAAAAGTTAAAAGGTTTTAAAAATAGGCAGGGCATGGTGGCTCATGCCTGTAATCCCAGCACTTTTGGAGGCTGAGGCAGTAGATCACAAGGTCTGGAGTTCAAGACCAGTCTGGACAACATAGTGAAATCCTGTCTCTACTAAAAATACAAAAAATTAGCTGAGTATGGTGGTGTGTGCCTGTAATCCCAGCTTCTTGGGAGGCCGAGGCAGGAGAATTGCGTGAACCTGGAAGGCAAGGTTGCGGTGAGCCAAGACTGTACCATTGCATTCCAGCCCAGGCGACATTGTGAGACTCTGTCTCAAAAAAGATTTTAAAATAAAGAAAGCTAAGGTTTAATAATTTACCTTTACTCTAAGATTGATGTTTACATGGATAGGGAGTTACTACCTCCTCTTACACAAGATTTTTTGTTTTTGTTTTGCTTTGTTGTTTGTTCTGGTCAACAGAAACATTTTTAATGGTATGTCTGATGGAACAGAGACTGACTTACCATTTCAATTAACAACAACAACAAATTTTTCTTTCTTTTTATTGAAGAAAGAAAAATTTTAAAATAAACTTAGGGTAGCCTAAGTGTACAGTATTTATGAAGTCTACAGTAGTTTATAGTAATGTTCTAGGCCTTCACATTCACTCACTACTCACTCACTGACTCACCCAGCAACTTCCACTTCTGCAAGCTCCATTTATGGTAAGGGTATACTGTTTTTTTTATCTTTTATACCATATTTTTAGTGTACCTTTTCTATTTTTAGATATGTTTATATATATATACATACTTATTGTGTAACAGTTGCCTACAGTATTCAGCACAATAACATGCTGTACAGGTTTGTAGCCTGTGCAGACATACCTTTGAGGTATTGTAGATTTGGTTCCAGGCCACCACAATAAAGTGAGTCACTTAAATTTTTTGGTTTCCCAGTACATGTAAAAGTTATGTTTACACTATCTTGTAGTCTGCTAAGTATTTAATAACATTATGTCTAAAAAATGTACATACCTTTGTTTAAAAATACTTGATCGCTACAAAATGCTAATGATGGGCTGAGCTTTCATCAGGAGTTGTGGAGATTCTT